ACAGTGGTGCTTTCTAATTTTATGACAGTGCATTTAGTGCTTTTTATACCCACCATCAAAAAAGATGAGTGGGGTATATTGATTTTGTCACTCCGTTTGTAACACATCGAAATATTGGTCGTAGACCCACAAAAGTATATATATTTTGGGTCCTTATTAAATTCTAAGCCGATCTAATAAATAAGTCTTATATGCGTCAAAATCTCTGTACCAAATTTTATGGGAATCGGTCCAAAATTGACCCTACCCCCCATACGAGTATAGCGATGAAATTCAACATAAGTAAGTTTTATATAAGCCAAAATCTCTACTAAATTTTATAGCAATAGGTCTATAATTGAGCCTACCCCCATATAAGGTCTCCTTCAGAAAATGATTTAAACGGTCATTACTGACTTAAAAAATACGAGTATAGCGATGAAATTCGGCATAAATAAGTTTTATATAAGGCAAAATGTCTCTACCAAATTTTATGGGAATTGGTCCATAACTGACCTTACCCCCAAATAAGGTCTCCCTATGAGTGCAGCGTTGAAATTCAACATAAGTAACTTTTATATGCATCAAAATTTCTCTACCAAATGACATTAATACTCATTACCGACTTAAAAATATTCGACATAAATATGTTTTATATAAGCCAAAATCTCTCTAGCAAATTTTACGGCAATCGGTCCATAATTGACCCTACCCCCACATATGGTCACCTTCAAAAATTGATTTTAACGCTCTTTACTGACTTAAAAATACGAGTATAGCGGAGAAATTCGAAATAAACAACTTTTATACAAACGTAATCTTCCTACCGAATTTAATTCGGATTTTTCGGTAACCTACCCTACTCCCTATTAAGGTCCCCTTAAAAATATGAGTACAGCGATGAAAATTGACAAAAAATAAGTTTTATACAATTTTTTTACACAATTGAACCTATCCCTAATATATAAAGCCTCCATGATTACTTCATCGTTGTACTCGCAATAAAAAGATTTTTATTATAATTCTTTATTCCGAATTTTATGACGATATAACTGACCAACAAAACAAAATCTATGTACAAAATTTTATGGGTATCGATATATAAACTTAAAAATAATATATATAGATTTTGCAAAAAAAATATATTTCACACAATTTTACAATTTGGGTGTGGTTACATCGGTTCGCCAGTTGGTAGTGTGCCTGTCAGTTTGAATGTTTGATGACATTTTACTATTTTTAAAATAACTTTTAAACAAATCAAGGAATTTGAAAATTTCTCATCTTATTTATCTAATATTCGTCAAACATTAGTTTTAGTTCTTACGTTACTAAAAATCTAACTCACACAGATGAAAGACTTTAGTATGACGCATGTTTTGTTTTGTAGTCAATGTTCTAAAAAACGAATTTTGGAGTCTTGTAGGAAATGAGCGAAATAATGTGCAATTTTTATTAAAATAAACAATATTTGACTTAAAAACGTTAGTGCTTTTTTACCCATTTTCAGTTAGAAAATTACGCTTTTTTACCCCTTTTTAATTTTTTTGCGCGCGTTTTGCTTGACCAATGTTGGCAACACTGTTCGCAACCATATTTTTTTTTCTTCTACTTCTTCCTCTTTGTAGTGATTTCCATTGTTGTTGTGTTCTGTTCATATATATTTCTTAAAACGCAATAAAAACACATGGGATTTTAGCGAAACAAGTGGAATTGAAGAATAAAACATTGCAAAAATAGAGAAACTGAGCAGCTGTTATTATTTGTTTTGTTCACACAAGTGTATGTGTGTTTGTTTATAAATTGTAGAGCTGGCAATTTTTTTGTTGTTATTTTAAAGAGAATTTTTATTTGATTTTGCATTGAACTATTAACGAAAATTATGAAAATTGCAACCCGATTAGAATTGGAACCACAACCACAATAACGAAGAAAAAAATTAGCTTGTATCGTGGCTAGACTCTAGACTATATTTTGAACTATAAACTGGACTAGTCTATAATGTGGACTGGTCTATGGTCTTGACATACTAGTTTATAGTTTGAACTTATGTATAGAGTATTGTCTGGACTAAAGTCTAGTGTATACTTTATTGTAGTCTATAATCTGCACTATAATCTAGTCTATAGTGTTGCCTATAGTCTTGTCCATAGTTTGGACTATAGTCAGTCTAGTCTATAGTAAAGAATATGGTATGTTCTATAGTCTGGGCTATAGTATATATTGTGGTCTGTAGTCTAGACTATAATCTGCACTACAGTCTAGTCTATAGCGTTATTTGTAGTTTAGTCCATAGTTTGGATTATTGTCTGGTCTAAATTCTAGTCTATAGTCTAGACTATGTTTTGGGCCATATGTATGTACATACGGACTAATACTGACTACTGACAGGTACTTGATGGTGGTTTGAATATCATTAAATATCATTCTTTGATATCCTGCAATACTTCCCTTCTTATGGCAGATAGTTCGGTGGGAAGAGGATTGCATTACATTTGGTGTTTATAATTTTATTTTAAATGCTAAATCCCATTTAAAAATTTAATTAAATATTTAAATATTTGAATATCCCAGACAACCAATCAAACAATCAAATCAGCTGTTTTAATAATTGTCAAAAATACTCAGAAACAGATAAAAACAAATCATATGTTATAAAATATTTTCTGATAACAAAAATAGAAAGAAGAATATTAATATAAAGAAAAGAAATCAAATTCAATTTCAATAAAGTATTATATTGTAGTATATTTATGTATGTGTGCATATATAGCGTAATAATATATGTAAATAAAATAAAATATACTCTAAAAAACTAATGAATATGAAATACTAAAATAGCTTAATTTGCTACGCAAAGGTCACTTGCGTCAGACCGGTCTGTATTTTATACAGAAAATAAAAAAACTACAAAGAAAACGAAGAAAAATTCGAACAATATGAGGAGTAGTAGAGCTCAGTAAAGTTTATTATGGAAAAAACATATGTTTTTTTTAGGTGTTAAAATGCAAAAACCATATGTTTGTTTATAAGAAAATTGTTTCAAATTCATGTATTTGTATATCATAATTTATTTAAATATATATTAGTTTTTTAAAAAGTTTTAAAAACATTTTAAAGTGTAAATGAGTGCATATTATTTTTTTTTTATAACCAAAATGTATTATATAACTTGATCCGTGTCTATTATAGAATGAAAGTTTCTAAATATACAAATCTAAGGCAATCGTTTACTAGTCTAATCTATGTAGCAAAGTAGACTTTTGCGTACAATGAAGGGAATATCTAGTCTGAACTGTAGTCTAGGGTGTGGACTATAGTGTATTCTACAGTCTTGACTATATTCTAGTCCATAGTCTGAACTTTATTCTAATACACAGCCTGGATTATATTCTAATCTATAGTCTGGACTATAGTATAGCCTATAGTCTAGTCTATAGTCTGAAGTATAGTCTAGTCTACAGTAAGGAGTATAGTCTAAACTATAGGATTGACCATAATCCAGTATGTTCTGAAGAATAGTCTAGTCTATAATCTGGACTATAGTTTGGACAATAGTCTGAACTATTTTTTGGAAGATAGTGTGGATTATAGATTGAACTACATGGACTTTAGTTTGTACTACAGTCTGGACTACAGTTTGGATTATAGACTGGAATATAAACTAGTCTAGTCTGGGCTATGGTCTGAACTATAGCTTGGACTATAGTTTGGACTACAGTCTAGACTTTAGTTTAGACTTTAGTTTGGACTACAGTCTGGACTATAGTTTGGACTACAGCTTGGATTATAGACTGAACTGTAATCTAGTCTATAGTCTGGACTATAGTTTGAACTGTAGTCTAGACTATATTGTGGAATATAGTCTAGTTTATAGTCTGTGCTTCAGTGTGTAATCTGGCCTAGAAAATCTCACTAATGATGTAAAAGATCCAAAAACTCAAGAGTTTAGTGGAAAAAAGTAATGAAAGTCAAGAATTGCATAAAGTCGACTTATACCTACCAAATCTATTTATTAAACTACATAACAACTTTTCCTAAACAAATAACTGTTTTAAGTAAAATTTATTTTAATTTCATAATAAGAAGAAATATACTGAACAACGAAAATAATAATAATACTAAAAACAATAAAAACACATGTTTACAACTTATACTGTAGGGACTTGTAAAAAGATGCAGTATTTTAATTGTAAACCATATAAGACAAAAACGTCTAAGGTTGGCAAACCGAATGACAGGCGACTGACTGGTTTTGCTGTTAGATATTTGCCGGTACAGCTGTTTCAAAATGAAAAAAACACATACACACACACACATACAAATAAAAGCAACAACTATACAATAACAAAACAACAACGCAAATCATACGGTTTCAATGAAAAGCAAAAACGAAAATAATAAATATAAACTGTTAGCAAAAACAACTGCAAAAAAAGAGAAACATGAGAATTTTAAAGTGATAAGAAAAATAGCAGCTGATTTTTTTTGAAGAAATTATGAAAGAGGAAAACACAGCTAAAAACAAATATTTAAATTTATTTAAATAAAGAAAGATAATAATTGTATTTATATTGTTAGACCAACTGTGTAAGGGTGTTTTTTTTTTAATAGGAATGTTAAGGAAATGAAACAAAAACGACAAAAACAAAATGTTTTTTTTTTCTGTCAATAAAATTTTGCGCCATACTTCTTTTACCCTTCTCCCTTTTTCTTTTGTAGGTATAAAAAAAACTAAATAAAAATCTTATCGAGCCCATATGTTTTAGCTGATTAAACAGATTTTTTTTGGGGGGGGCTTTAAAACGTATGACAAATAAAACTGACGGTAAATCATAAGAGGAAAAAACATATGGATTTGTAAAACAACAAATTGCTTAAAATAAATAAATAAACAACAAACATATGCTTTTGGTTTTATAGACAAACAAAAAGTGACTTCATTTTTCTCAAAAATAAAGAATTTAAAAAATCAATAAATTGCGTATTAAATTCCTTAGACTATACTACTGTACACTTACTGTAATTCTTCTTCCAATTCTTCGGTACTTTGATATTCAACATTTTCCAAAATCACTTCCTCCGTTTTAATAGGAACGTTCGAAGACATATTTTATTTATTATTATTATAGTTTATTTTTTTAATTAAATTACACTTCTTTCAGATTTTCAATACTTTTTTATAGAATATAAGAAAACCACGTGTTTTTTTTTAAATATTTCTGGTTTTTTAATTGGTTTTATGGTTTTGTTTATGAGTTTAAAAATAACATTTAGGTTATTAATTTTTCTGTATGTATCACTGCTATTGATTTTTTTATAAATTCTTTGCTATTTCCTTCTTTTATATTTTTTAATAAAATTTTATATTTTGTAATATTTTTTCTGTTTTGTTGTTTTTCACTTTTTCATATAAATTCTTTTTTTTTCGTCTTTTCATGAGACGTATACCAAAATGACGTTTATTTTTCGTTTTCTTTTTTTATAATTTACTCTTTGCAACACCAAAAAGTGACGCTCACTTATACACTCTCACTTGTTTACGTCTGTTTTTTTTCTTGTTATTTGCTCTGTTTTGTTTTATTTTTCTTCCAAAAACAAATGAGCTGCTGTTTTTGCCTTTTCTTTTTTCCACTTTAACAGCTGGTTATTCGCCTTGTTTGTATTTTTTCTATTTCCTTCTCTATTCTTCTTTCTTTTGTGTGTGTATATAATAGATATTTTTTCAGCTGTTTTTTTTCTTTCTTACACAATTTAGCGGCAATTTTTATTGTTTGAAAATTATTGTTTTTTTTTTATTTTTCAAATTGTTTTTTTTTATTAATTTTTCAGTTTTTTCACCAAATTTTTTTTATTTATTTGTTTTCATATTCATTTTTTATTTCTTTAAAGAATATTTTTCACTTTTTTCAGCAAATAAAAATGCAAAATAAAATTTTTATCCGCTTCCACACAACCGCCTCAAACGAAACTCAAGAACGTAATGAAAATGAAATTTCTCTTCGCCTGTTTTTCCCCTAGATTTATCTCAATTTCTCATCGTTCCAAATGGCTTATTTCGCCTGCTGTTAATAACAGCCCTGCTAAGTGTCTAACAATGTTAACTATTTTTATTATTTGCCGTACGAGGGCTGAACTGAAAATGTGGGTAAAATAATCCCATAATGACTCTTAGAATACTGAAAAACAGTGGGTAGAAAGAATTTAAATTTATATATTATATTTATATATTATTATTATTCAACACTTTTATAAAGATAAATTTCAATATGCGTATCGCTTGTAGTAGTTCAATAAGAAAATTGCATCAATTCCACGCCAGCGTAGCGTCATTTCCATTTTCCCTAATAAAATGAGCTATTCGGCCTCAGCAAAATACATACATTTCTTACCGGACGATTTTGCTGAGATACCCCGCCTCTCAATACCAACTCAGCAACTTGCTGAGTTCATATAAAAATAACGTTTATTGGAAATTTTTTTGCTGAACTCAGCAAATTTCCAATATTCGAAAAGAATTGCATTATCGGCCACTGTTGTACCGTGCTAACTGCACTACCAATATGATATACTGTGTTACCCATTATATTTTACTACAATATCATTGGCAATGTACTGCAATATCAGCTGTGAGCTACTGTATTACCAGCAGATAGGTATTATGTGTTACCATATTATAAAATATTTGGTTTAATGTTTATTTTCATTTCATACAGTATTTATATAATGAATTTTAAGATAACTTTACAAAATATAATATTTCTTAACAACTAATTTTAAGCATCGACTTTTGAAGCTTTCTCGAAATATTCCACCATTAGTGGGTAGACTTCATCATACTGCTCACTCTTGCGACGTCTAACGCCATCCCTGTAACGCTGCAAGGCACCCGATATCAATTCCAATTTTTCACGTTCATTTGTATGACCCTCCAGCCATTCAATCAAACGTTCATTAGACCAATTAACGGTGGTGTGGGGTGATTGTAGCTCTGGACCAGCATGAGCAAATAACAGAAGTAAGATAATGTAGGAAGGTACTAAGGAATCAGCGCCAATAGTTTGTTTAATCAATTGCGCGGGATCTTGTACAATAAGGAATGACATGGCACGCAGTAAACGAGCCGAATTACCCAGCTCGTAGAGATTGGTACACAATGGCTTAAGGGTGTTTTCCATATGCAAACAATCGTTCTTTAATCTCTGCCTACCCGCTTGACTTAGAGGTCTTAGGATACTGATATTGTGTATGAAAAAATCGATACATCTTTTGGCCACTTCCTGGCCACATCTCAATGTTATGTCCTTGTCATCGTAGGGTGCAATGTGATTTGTCCAAGAACGATTTATAAACTCCTGTAATTCTTTCATATACATTGATGGTCCAGCTGTGGAAATTTTTTCCGAATTCAAGCCCGGCTCACGATGTATACTTAAGATGATGATATTAATGGTGGACACTATAGAATCCATAATTTGTTGCAATATAGTGCCTATCAATAGATCAGCCTGTTCCAATGACTTGGCAATATCCTCCCTGGCAGTAGATTGGGATTTAGCAAATTGTTGTCCTAAATCCTGTAGCATGCGTTTGGTAGAGTCTTTGAAATAGTATAAAATATTAGCCAATAAAGTATTCTGTATTTGCTGGGTATTGGGCAGATCTACAACTTGCACCGAATCGGGCCCCAATTTAATTTGGGCCTCAATTTTCGTGCAAAACTCTTTACCGCAGGCTATAAATACCGCTGCAATGGCATTACTGAGTCTAGTATCCACTAAAGCAGCACTTAGTTCTGCGGCCGCAACTCTTATGAAATTATCAACAGTTTCATTGTTGGGCAAATCCACCCCCGCCATACAGGCTTTCATATTGGCGCCACATTTACTAACATAACCTACTTCCAGGGGAGTAAACAAATCGTCATCAAACAAAAATGCATTATTTACCTTTTGCTCTAGGCCACGTACAGAACTAAGCAGCTTAGATAAACCTTCCTGCAAAGTTTGTGTTATATGGGCAGGACATTCTTTAAAGGATTTTCTTAAGAGTTCCTGTATAGCTTGCCAAAAGCGTTGACTTATAGTTTGTTCAGCACTGGAGGCCGATGTGCCAAACTGTTGGACTTCTTCTAAAGCCTGTTTTAGCAATTGTATTTGTGTACAGCACTCATAAAGTTCATCGTACAGCAGCCAGTGTAAAGATTTCCAGAATTTTGCACGAAAGTTTTGTGTTGTTGTCAATTGGGGAGTTTTTCCTGGACCTCTATGACCAGCGGCAGCGGCTGATTTTGGTGATGAAGTTATTGCTTTATTGGCTTCATTTTTATTTAATATAGAGATATCATTGCCAGCAAAACACTCCTTAAGCGATTGTTCTAAATCGGAAATGAACGTTTTAACAAGATTATCTAAAGAGTTATCTAGGGTATTGAAGTTTATAAAGATCTGTAAAGATAAGAATGGCAAAATAACTTGTTTTAACAGAATTAGATTTTTTTAGGTTTTCTAACAAAAATGTCGAGTTTTGAAGGAAAATATCAACGATTTTGTAAGTATGGTTTTCGGTCACAAAAAGAGAAATTTTGAGTTTTTAAAATCGAAACCAAATGCCTTTTCTAATAGTCGTCCAACTCACCTTCAAAGCATTACAAATTTGTTGCTCATTCCGTTCCTGCAAACCCGTAACCAACTGCATTTGTGTTAAATTGCGTATTTTCTGCCTTGAATTTATAACATACATCCTTGCCGATTGTACAAATTCGATTTTCTTCAAATCCGGATCTTCAATTAGTTCATTCAATTCATAATGCAACTCCGCCTGCTTAAGAACATCTTTAGTGTTCCTTAATTTGGAGGTCAAAGTCAGCAATGTTTTGGAAGATCTCAAAAGATGTGATAATTCATGCAGACGTGCTAAAACTTTCGATTGATTCTCTATTAATTGGTATTGATGATCAACTTGATGCTTTAGACGATAACTGGAATTACGTATACGTTGCACATCATCCGCCAAAGTATTTAGAGCCGCATCAAATCGTCCGGCGTGAGTAGCTTGCTGCAGTAGGGCCCCATGTTTGTCACGTACCTGTTGTTGCAGCTCTTCATTGATGTTATTAAGACGCTTGCTTAGTTCTTGAATTTGATCACCAATTGTAAGATTCATGGCAGCCAATGCGGCTGTGATGTCTTCCTCCTCCTCCACAACCTCATTATTGATATCTGGTTTGGGCGATTCGGTATGTGTTACCCTTAATTATGGTCTAAAGGTTAATAACTATAAATATTGTACAAATTAAAAAACTTACATTTTTCTTACAAATTATGAATTTTTCGGTCAACAATTTTCTGTTTTGATGCAACGTCAAATGTTTACAATTACTAATAATAGTGTTGCCAGATTAAACAATAAGAGATGGTTCTTACACACTTAGAATAAAATAGTGCGGCAAATAACAAAAGAATTCTTTAAGCATTTGAGTTCCTGCAGGCGTTTTTTAAGAAAATTAATATATTTCTTTCGAAAAATACATACTATATAAATGCTATCTAGCTGGTTTAATTTCTAACACCACTCACACACAATTTTTCTCAGTGTGTACTAAAACCACAGCTGTTATTGTTTATGTTTTTATTAGACATTCACTGGGAATTATTAACATAAAGTAAATGTAAACAAATAAAATATTAATTTTAATAAAAAAATAAAAATATTTTAAAATAATAATGACATTCCAGGAATTTAAATGTCTGCGTGTAATAGATTGTAAACAAGGCGCCGTAAGAGCGGTGCGCTATAATGGTAAGATTTTTTGACATTTTATTTATCAAAATAAATACAAACAATTCCTTTCCAGTCGATGGCTCTTACTGTTTAACTTGCGGCTCCGACAAGAAGCTAAAATTATGGAATCATAAAACTGGCTTACTTTTAAAAACCTACGGCGGTCATGCCGATGAAGTCACCGATGCCGCTGGCAGTTGTGAAAGTAGTAACATTGTGACCGCAAGTTTAGATAAAAGTATCATCTATTGGGATGTTAGTACTGGAGCACCGGTAAGACGTTTGCGTGGCCATGCTGGTGGTGTTAAATGTGTGTGTTTTAATGAAGACTCCTCTATAGCGATATCGGGAGGACGCGATAATGCCGTCTTTTGTTGGGATATACGTACCAGACGTTTGGAACCTGTTCAAATGATGAGAGAAGCTAAAGATTGTATAACGTCGGTATTGAGTAATGAGAATAAAATTATTACCGCTTCCTTAGATGGTTGTGTGCGTTATTATGATATACGTGTGGGAGAACTCACTTGTGATAAGGTGGGAGTGCCCATTACGTATTTGAACATGACGCGGGATGAACAATGTCTGGTGGCCGCTTGTCAGGATAATATTGTACGTTTGCTGGATTGTGATTCTGGCGGTTTATTGTCTGAGTACAAGGGTTGCAAAGGCGATGATTATCATATTGAATGTGGCATTATGTGTAATGATGCTCATATTGTCTCGGGAAGCAGTGGGGGAGATGCTATTGTTTGGGATTTATTAGAGGGTAAAATACTGCAAAATATTGAAATTAGTAAGTATTGAAAAATGTTCCCTTTTAGAACAATTTTGAACAGTACTTTTTCACAGGTAAAACTGGAGGTGTTGTACATTCTTTAGCTACACATCCTAAATTGAATGAAGTTATGTTTGCGCGTCGGAGAGATGTTTATGTGTACTCAACGGAATTGGAGAATGAAACGATGGATGTTTTGTAATTTTATAATTATACTACGATAGTTAGATGTATGTATTCTAATGATCTAATATGTAAGAAATTAAGATATAAGTTCAAAAAATATAAAAAGGAAGTCACATTAATCATACTACAAAAAGCCATTCTCAATGTTTGGGTCCCGATGTAGTACCGATTTTCTATAAAAAATGTACATGTTTCTTTCTTACTTAGGATTTTAGGTTTTTCAAGAAAAATTTATGATTTTTCAGAGTCTTGTACTTATTCCTACAAAAATTGTTAAGATTCTATTTTGTACTTAACACGTTTGTGGGTTAAAATTCCTATTACAATAGCAGCTCAGTTACAATGAAGGCGGTAATGTCGCTAGAATAATACTTCTTGTGTTTCATTTGTTTTTCATCTGTCGCTTGTCGTCAGTGGTTTAAATTGTAAACAATTCGTTAAATATGGCAACTCTTTTAATTAAACAGCTGACGAATGCATTGGTATTTTTTGTTGTTCTTTTTCTGTTTCTCTTTCCGTGTTAAAATAAGCGTCATTCCATTGATAAAGAAAAACTAAAAATTATTAGTAAATTATCAAATTATTTCGCAAATATTACTAAAACTAATAAAAAAGTATTGATCAACTAGTAAAACGTAAACGAAATGTATTAATTATAACGGCAAATAAAATCAAAAAGAGAAAAAACAAATTTCCAAGAAGTGAAAGTAAGAAGTGCCTGAAACCACTCCACAAAAGGAAATAAACAAAAAAACACGTAGAAAAATGTCTTTCCTAAGGGGTTCCTTAAATTATGTTTGGTGTACCACCAGTGTTTTGGGCAAAGGTGCAACTGGTTCGGTTTTTCAGGTAATTTCCCCTTTTCCATATTGTTTTTTTTTTTTCGTTCTAATGGGAAACGTAATTCATGCTTGCTTTGTTGTTGTTTCTTTGGCTTTTCCCTTGTTGTTGCTTTGTAAACAATAACACAGGGTGTCAACAAAATTACCGGAGAATCAGTTGCCGTCAAAACATTTAACCCTTACAGTCACATGCGTCCTCCAGATGTACAAATGCGAGAATTCGAAGCTTTAAAGAAAGTCAACCATGAAAACATTGTAAAACTTTTAGCCATCGAAGAGGATCAAGAGGGCCGTGGCAAAGTGATTGTTATGGAACTGTGTACCGGTGGTAGTTTATTTAACATTTTAGATGATCCCGAAAATTCCTATGGTTTGCCCGAGCATGAATTCTTATTGGTTTTGGAACATTTATGTGCCGGCATGAAACACTTGAGAGATAACAAATTGGTACATCGTGACTTAAAGCCGGGGAATATTATGAAATTTATTTCAGAAGATGGTCAGACTATATACAAGCTAACGGATTTTGGTGCCGCCCGTGAACTAGAAGATAATCAGCCATTTGCATCACTTTATGGCACTGAAGAGTATCTACATCCAGATTTGTATGAAAGGGCGGTTCTTAGGAAATCCATAAATCGTTCCTTTACCGCCAATGTAGACTTATGGTCCATAGGCGTCACTCTGTATCATGTGGCTACGGGAAATTTACCCTTTCGTCCCTATGGTGGCCGTAAGAATCGAGAAACTATGCATCAAATTACTACCAAAAAAGCTTCGGGTGTTATATCCGGCACCCAAACATCGGAAAATGGTCCCATTGAATGGTCGACCACTTTACCTCCACACTGTCATTTGTCCGAGGGTCTTAAGACTTTAGTTACCCCCCTTCTAGCGGGTCTCTTGGAGGAAAATCGTGAAAAAACCTGGTCATTTGATAGATTCTTTCAAGAAGTTACTTTGATCTTACACAAACGTGTCATACATGTATTCTTTTCAAATCGCACTAGTTCAGTGGAAATCTTTTTGGAACCCGAAGAACAAATCGAACATTTTCGTGAACGTATACTAATGCAAACGAAAGTGCCTTTAGAAAAACAAATATTACTCTTTAATAATGAGCATTTAGAAAAGAGAATTAATTTGCATACCACAGGTGAGTGTGAATCGTTTATAACGATCGAAAGTAGACGTAATTTGGTGTTTATTATTTTCAGCCAATTCTTTTCCCAAAACCACTACGGAAGATCCTATATTCTTATATAGCAATGATGATAATAATGTTCAATTACCACAACAACTTGATTTGCCCAAATTTCCTGTTTTTCCCAGCAATGTTTCAGTTGAAAATGATGCTAGTCTAGCTAAGGTATGTACGTATGATTCTTCTGGTGCCAGTTAATATGAAAAATTTTGGAAAAGTCGTATTTTAGATATTTTATAGGTGTGAACCAAGCTTTCATTAGAGCATTTAAAATTAAATATTATGTATTTTTTGTTTCTTTGGAAGGCGGCTTGCAGTGTGGGCCATGAATGCAAAAGACGCGTAGACACCTTTACCAATATTGATATCTTAATAAAAAAGGCTGTACAACAGTTTATTGAAACTTTAATTACAACTATCACTTTGCTGGTAAAGTAAGTTAGTAATACATATGAAATTGAAATGATTCTTAAAAGAACTTTTAAAATTTTAGAAAAACCAAACATTTTGATAAGTTACTATCGACTGAAATAGACTATGCTGATGCGGTGCAAAGTATGGCTAAAGTGGTAAGTTGTTTATAACTAAAATGATTCAATCAATATTAAACTTTTTGTTTTAAACCCTAGACTAAGGGTGACCAAGAACTGAAACCCATTTTACAAAAATTGGAAAATCTTAAAACAGATTTTGATAGTGCTGCCGATGTTATAATGCAATTGCATACCAACTTTGTGGTGGAAGATCAATTAAAGTAGGTTTATAGAGTTTAAATTAAAAATAAAGTTTTGTACATTTTTAACAATTTTTATTAGTGAGCAATGGTCTTCTTCTATGCATGGTAAAAAATGTCCCTGTCGCACCAGAGCCAGTGCCCAAGCAAAATATTTAGTAGAGCGTTTACGTGACTCCTGGCAACATTTATTAAGAGATCGTGCTACACGTACTTTAACCTACAATGATGAACAGTTTCATGCTTTGGAAAAAATTAAGGTAACATTCTATTGAAAAAGTAATATTAAAGTATTTTTTAATATATATTTGTTTGTTTAACAATACAGGTGGATCGCAATGGCAAACGTATAAAATCATTGTTAATGGATGATGTTAAGCCCTCGGTGGCTCAAATGGCTGAATGTTTAGCTGACTGGTATAAGCTGGCACAAACGGTCTACTTAAAAAGTGAAATCTTAGAAAAAGATGTACGAGAATGTGAACGCACTTTAAATACTATACGCGATGATTTGTATCGTCTTAAAATCGATTTACAAAAGGATATGGATGCCAAATTAGTAAATAATAGTAATCAGTTATCGAAAATTGAGCAAAAAAGTCGTCTAATTGTAAGTTTTTTTTTTTTGTACATTTCCCAGCTGTAAATAACTTAGATTTTTCTATTTACTTTTAGTTTATGCAACAACAGCAACAGGAAATATTAGCTATAATGAAACAAAATCGTCAACTGATCTCAATGTTGCAAGAATTGGGAATACGTTTACCAACTGCTGCAAATCCTTTGGATTTTTGAATATATTTGTATTATGTTTTAAATACTTATTTGGTTTAAGTTTGATATTTTTTTATATAATTTCGTTTTTTATATGGTTCGCTTCTTTTATAACTGATATAGTGTATATATACTCCTATATTTAATAAATAGATAAAACAAATTTTATAATTATGTTTAATGGCTATGGTCACAAGATGAAAGAAACCTATAAATTCCGAATGATTGGTAAAATTTTACATATCAAGGACGGAGTTTTTTTTTTTTTTGAAAATTACCTTTTATGATTTTTTTGTTTTTATTTTTTTCATATGTATATTTTCAAAGAATCTGTAAGTGATCTAATTATTATGATTTTTTCAAATTAACTGAATGCCACGATTTACATTTCTTTGATATTCGTTTATTATATTAGATTAAATTAAAAAGGACAATTTAAGCTAAATCTTATCAATATAATTCTACTAAATAAACCAAGTGAAATGAATGTTATAAATAAAATGTTTGAATTAAATGACAAATTCTCATTTCACCCGGCTTAGAGGAGGGTGTTCGCAAATATTTGCAAAACCTTGCAGAATAGGAGTTCATAATAAAAATTTACATATTATGATGTAAAAATACTAAACTCGAAACTTCTTCGGGTTCTAAATGCATACGACGATCTCTTATAGTCTGAGCTGTGGAGGAAAATATTTGCTCACTAGGTACCGATGTCGCCAAATTGCACAGCCGCTTGAGAGCGTACTGATAAAGACGGGGATAGATGTTTTTTCGTTTATTCCACCAAATGAGTGGATCATTTTTACGCTCTAAATATTCCTCTTCCAAATAATTATCAAATTCTAGCTTAGCGGCTGCCACATTATCTTCGGCTCTGAAGTTTTTGTAAACATCTTGATCGAAATCATGCCAAATGCTATTACCTTGCTCGGCGGATGATGTTCTTATTTGGTTGTCAATATTTAATCTTATAGAGTTTATACGGTTGCGCAATTTTTCCACAGCTGTCTCATAGGCGCTATTGCTGCGAAAACCATTTCTTTTGAAGCGTGGATCCAACAAAATGCTTTCGGCATATAAATAATTATTTTCATAATCTCCAAAGTCATAGGCGTTCATTTCATTTTTAATTTTCGTAATCACAGCCGTTACTTTGGTATGGCGGGAAAAGCATTTTGCAATGAAGCTCTGTAAAAGATTGCTGAGAACGGAGGCTTTTGATAACATCACATTATTTTCTGCACAAATTTCTTGTATGACTTCGTAGAAAGGTTTTAGAATGTGTATTATTTCAGTTAGATATTCCCACTCTTCCGGCGATAACAATAGATGGGGACATTGTAAAGCGAATTTTGCCAATAATATATTCTTAAGATTTATAATACTCTCTAGCATTTGGTAAGTGTCACAGCCATGTTTTTCCACTTCAGGCTTAAGTTGTGTTATAGTAATACCCATTTGTTGTTCGACTTCCTTTATTATTTCAAGGCCTGGAGTAGAGTTATGTAAATATTCTACAATTTTTTTAGTTTTCTCAATAATATCGTTTACTACGTCCAGGGAAGTGTGTAGTATTCGTTGTAAAGCCTGAGCAAAACAGCTGATTTCACTCCATGGACCCTGTCTAACTACGGCAGCAATATTTACCACATTATCATCACTAACTATAGCTGAAACTTTATTCCAAATATCAAATTCCAGCATAATATTTTTGAAGAAATTATATAAACCATCATCCGAGAAACCGTCTTTAATTTCAGAACATCCAATTAAATATGATTTTAGTTCGGTGTTTTCACTCTCGATATAATGGGCGGTGACTGTGACATAGCAGACATTAGTTGTCGAAGTCCAACTGTCTGTAGTTAGACACACAGCCAGAGATGAGCGTATTTTAGATTTAACATTTTCCAAAATTTCTCTACAAACATTTGGCAGTAATTCATTGGTTAAGGATCTTCTTGTCTGTAGTCTATAGCCGCGAAAACGCGATACATTCTTTACAAGTTTCCTAAATTCTGGCTCTTCGACAATGCTCAATGTATGATGTCCCTTTGCAATCATTTTCAAAACCTGTTTGTCGAGTTTCTTCAATTTTAGAATAGTTGAGGCAGTCTCCACAAAATATTGCTGTGAACTGCAGGCCGGCTGTTCTAATGGTGGTTCATCTATTAGAGGTCTTTTCAAATGTCCCAAATCTAAGGTTGAATTGCATTTGGCGCCTTCACTTTCATCATCTTCTGTACTAGCTGGTCTTTTTCTTGAATTCATTTTATTTTTATACTGTTTTTATTTAGTATTTGCTTCACTTTTGCGGTTTTAATTATAGTTTTATTTTGTTATGATGCGAAAAATTTGTATGCTAAACATAGAACACAGTGTTAGTTGTGAAAAAGTTTCTTGTGATAAAAAAAATTATACTTTGTGATACAAAACAAGATAAATTCACACAAAATGGCCTTACTTTAACAACTGTTTGTTTTGTTGTTCTTAACATTTACAATAACACTGTTAAACTCCGTATATAAAAAATATCTCTGACAAGTGACGCTGTCAATATTTTTATATATATAAACAAATAATGAATTCTCTCGTCTTTACCTGAATTCATCACTTTGCACCTTTTTCGGATTATCCTTGTTGTGATACAAATTTTGCGGTGATGCCAAAAGGACATTATTTTTCTTTATGTTTTCTCGTTTATATGTATTTGTATGGCAACACTATTTTCTGCTTTAAGCAACATTTACAATGCTGCAAATTGTATTTCTTTCTTTTTCATACCAATATAATAATTTTTTTGACTATCTCTTTTTAATCCACTTTTCACTCTGGAGTTAACATAAATATGTTAATGTGAACATGACAAATGTTAACCATGAAGAAACAAAAATTTTGTCAAAAATATATATAAAATACTTATGTATATTAGGTGTTTTTGCATATATTCTAGTAAAAAATGTCCATTAACTTTATTATGAGAGAGTAATTTTTAATTTGCTCTCTATTTAAAAAATATCTCAAAAAGTACGCGAACGCTAATTTGCAAAAAATTGCAAGTGCCTGTTTTTAAATAAAGATTAGTAATGCCCCTTTTATTGAAATCTCAATCGTTAAAAAATCACTAAGAAATAAACAATTGAAAAAATTTTTTTCTTATAAATAAACGGGTATTTACCATTAAAAATATAATATTTTGTTTCAAAACTTCATGTTACAAACATATAATTAAAAAATAAAAATTTGCACGAAATCGCTTAGAAATCCACAATAAATTATTCTAAAAAACGCCAGATTGACATTGTTTGCTATAATTTTTCACAACAAACAAATTCGTTTAATAAATAAATGGGTGGTTGTTGGAGGAACTTTCAAATTGTAAACATAGGGCGCAATTCGAAACTGGGCGACATGAAAAAAAGTTTCCCAAAAACAGTTTTTCTGTGTGAACCGGCACTAAGATGGTATTTTGAACGTTTTGTTCAATCAGTAACCTGCAATCTGCTTGGGATGTTGGAAAACGGTTATAAAAAACCATTTGAGGTAAAATATTGCTTGCATCTAATGATGAATATAAAGTATATATCGTCACAAATCAATTGCAAATGAACATACAATTTTCTGCCGGTAATGAAAATATTGTACTCTAAATTTTGTAGATTATTCTTGGTTCAAAATATCGTTTAAGAAGCCTCCAAAACAACAACTGGACAAGTAAATTTAATGGACATTTATTATTTTAAATATTTCAACACTTATTCAAAGATTCGGCGAATTATTATCTTATGCAGGTACCGTTGCAGAGATAAACCAAGATACCGTAACCGATACCATTTCAGTTTCAGAACGGTGTTTGAAATAATGTAAAAAGTGCTGCCAATTGTTTTAACAAGAAGCCGATCATACTTTTAATTTAATTAAAAAGTTTGTTTTTAATTATAAAAAGTATGTAGTAAGTATTTAATTTAATTTTTAAATCTTTTTGCAATTTGTAAGAAATCTTGATTATACGATTTAATGGTTGATCGCTGATGCAGTAGTAGTCAATTGGGTTGCAAACATTGTCTCACACTCATTATACTCTCCCCACCAAAGTAGTGCAAGTATAAAAATTATCTCAACAGGTAAATTAAATATACAGTGTCTCTCATAATTATTCGAATTTGGGTAAACTATAAAAAGAAACCAAGTTTAATAATATATTTTGTGTGCAAAATAAATAAATTAATTTGTTATATTGTCTAGATAGTCGTTATGTTTGATATCACGCTTTTTAAAACTTGAAAAATTTGCATTGACTTAAATTAATTATGGATTTTTAAAAAAAGTCCATGAAATTGCCTCTCAAAAGTATACGAATTTTTCCTGTATTTCATATTTGATCATATTATACGCAACACAAATTTTAGAATCGAATGGTTTTTATGCGTAATATTGTTTTAAGGGGTTACTATCCACGGAAAGGATATATTTTTTGACCATTTGGTCCACAATTTTGGGAAATTTGTACCTTTTTTCAAGTAATATCATTAAAATGGCGATTTTTGGCCATAATTGTAAATTTTTCTCCTTATTTCCAGAGATAAAACAAAAATTTGATATTGGGACTTATAAGATCCCTTGGGGTATATAAAAATAACATTTTTTGTTACAAGAATCTGTATTTAAACGTTCCAAGATAAATTATTCGGATCATTCTTCTGTCACTAATTCAATATATTGGAACTTAAGTCCATTTTTATAATACTAGGATCAACTATTTTCGGGGAAGTTTTCTGCTATATATTCATTTAGATATCAGCTTTTATACATTTTAAGTTTTCAATGTGTTGTGGAAGTGTACAACTCCAAAACATGCCTCGAAGAAACACCATTCAAAGTAGTAAAATCATTATTTTTGTATACGAATGGCCTCCATGCTGCATGGCACGATATCATTATGATCTAACTCAAAAATGTTGATAAATATTATTTACTATGGTCAAATTAAAACCAAAATTTGGACTTACAGTGTTATTGTAACGGGCAACATAAGCGTGAAAGTTACGAGTAGTAAAAACTGAAATCTACTATATAGGATGACGTTTTATTAAGGCATGTTTTGGGGTTGTATACCGCTATAATATATTGAAAATTTAAAATATATTAGTGCCAATATGTACATGAATATACACTAGACAACTTTGTCGGAAAATATCGTCCCTAGAGGTACGAAAAGGGACTTATGATCCAGATAATTCAATTAGAAACTGAAAACCAAAAATCGCCATTTTAATGATATTACATGAAAAGAGGGTACAAATCCCCCAAAATTGTGGACCAAATGGTCAAAAAATATATCCTTTCCGTGGATAGTAACCCCTTAAAACTTATATTGTGATATCAAATCTAAGGACTATCTAGACAATATAACAAATTAATTTATTTATTTTCCACACAAAATATATTATTAAATTTGGTTTTTTTCATAGTTTACCTAAATTCGAATACTTATGAGAGACACTGTATATACGCATGTATGATCATAGTTGTTAATTTTAATCTAAAAGACCCTTGAACTAATTATTTTTGTAGCTTTTCTTTTAAGGTTTGAGTTTTGTTTATTTATTTTACACAAAATCTTTTTTTAACTTTCGTATTAATATTAGAAAAAATTTTCAATTTTCACTATAGTATTATGATTTTTTTGTTCAAGAAGAAATAATAAATTAAAGAAACAGGTGTTTGGTATGTGTGTCTACATGTTATTTTTGCTAATATGTTTGTTTTAAGATAAGAATTGTACGACGACACACAAAAAAAATTATTACATTTTGTTGGTAATTGATTGGACGACAAGCGCTTTGAAGAAAAAGAAATAAACTTTTTTTTATCGTAACATCTACGTTGAGATTAGAGAGTAGACCATGCTAAAATAAGAAAGATAAAAGAGAAAAGTTGAAAGTAAATATTTTAATGTAAAATTTAGTTAAATACTTACCCATAGATATAATAGAAGAATGATATTAAATAAATGGCCAATTTAATCCAGCCTTCACGCATATTTTTGGTTAAATTATCCGAAGATAAAACTGTGGTTGGATCATAAAGACCAGGACCAGACATGACGGGACGATTTTTGTAACTGTAAGTAATCAAAAGCTTAAAAGTTGTTGCTTTCTAGTAAAAGACTCCAAACTTACCGCCATATATGATAGGCAATCAATGGAATATTGATACACAATGAAAACCATTCACCACATACTAAAAATAACAAATTCAAAAAGATGTGCAGCAAATATTCCGGCAACACCAGCTAGGATCCAAGAAAACAATAGAAATGCTAGACATTAATAAATGCCCATAAGTTAATAATTATTGTTCATAACTTACCGGATTTAAACTATTACATTGATCTATGGGATTTTTATAATCTGTTTTTAATTCATCGAAAGCAATAACATGAAATATTGCAAAGAATATTAAAAATGCATCACCTATCAGGGCAATTATATAGGTAAATGCCGTAAAATTGAAAGCCATTGTTTTTCTCTCTGTGTGTTTCTCGGTTGGACTTTGCTAAACAAAATCTCCCAAAAGGCGGGTATTTAGTGGATGTTTAATTATATATACACTTTATGCTGCAATAGAAATAGCATATTATTAATTTTATATTAATTGTTTTATGCAAAAACTCACATTCGTTTAGGAAAACTCAAAATTTTGTTAAAATTTTCGCTTTTTTTTGGTTCGAGGTGTCTCCTGTCGTCATGACAGTTGAGTAATTTCAATTATGAGTTCATTATAAAAACAGAGTTGCTTAAGCCATGTCTATATTAGACAAATATTTATTATGCTAAACGTCAAATTGTTATCATAATAAAAAATTAGCAGGTACAGACGGCATTTATTAGCGTTATAACGTCGTTATGACAATGTTGTCTACACAACTGTTTAGACAACGTTGTCTTGATAACAAACGTCATTTTATTGTAAAATTTGTTTAGAATTTTATTTTTGTGCAATTAAAATTGATTTTTAACATTAGTTTTAGTGAAATTAGTGTTTATTTACAAAATTTGCATTTAATTTTAATTGTTTTTATAAAATATAGCCTTATTTCAATAAAATTATCTGTGAGTTGTCGTGATAAAATCAACGTTTTGTTACCCCTATGTATTACAGTCAAACTCGCTTATAACGAACTCGGTTATAACGAATTCTCGGTTATTACGAACAAGTTTTCAAGTCCCGCTATTTTGGTAACTTCATACAAAAAACATCTCTTATAAAGAACTCAGTTATTACGAATCCTCGTATAAAACGAACTACTTTTTCAGTCCCTCAAGTACAATTTCATACAATTTTCCTTTTTTATAACGAACTTCAAAATTATGTGTTGAAATCATAAGGATATATTTTGCTTTGTTGAAAAAAAAAACTTAAATTTGTTAAGAAAAATATGAACAAATAAAATCAATGGTGGTTTTTGTAAAGAATATTAAATAAATTTATAAATCATATTCTTAAAATTTCGTAAAATGCCACTTTATTTTTGGAATTTGACTGGTCCCGCGGAGATCGTTATAAACGAGTTTGACTGTAACATAAACAAAAAACTGACAATTTTTCTGCCGACTTTTTGTTAAGTGCCGTCATAAATATTTGTCTAATATAGACATGGTGTAAAATGCAAAGAGCTACCCCTATAAGAACAGTGACAGTCATTTGACCGGTCAATTGACTGTCACTACTGAGAATATACCCATCATTGCGTAGAACAAAGCTCCCATCACTTTCTTAAGGGCAATATGTAAAAAGTGATGGAAACATTTGTGTACATGTGATGTTGCATCACCCTCGCACTTATGAATTCTATCGACTTTAAAACATATATTTGAGCTGCTCACTCTTTTGTTGTTTACTAATCATGGATGATATAAATATTAGTCATGATTGACTAATCATGCTTGATGGATATATCCATCACAGTTAACAAATAAAAAAATGATGCATTAATCGATCATTGTTGACTAATCACACTTGATGAATATATCCGTCAAATCTGACGGCTATACCAATTTATAATAAAAGACAATTTATTGATATTTTAATATATATATTGTTAATTTTATTAATATAGTAATCATATACATAAATTACCAGTCTTTTCACCATTTTACATATCTCGCAGAATCTTAAGTCCTCTGATGCTCCTATTAATTTGTGGAAATATGTTGTCTGTAAAGAAATACATAAGTATCGAAATATAAAAATCATAAGTACATATTTATGTTACCATTGATTGATTAAACTCCGAATTGTTTATCTTCTGATCCACTTCCTGAGCTTTTTTAAAATTTAGTTTATAATAATTCTCATTATTTTTAATAATTTAAAGACTTTGTAATTTTTTTATTTCTTCGCTTCTTGATCTTTGGCTTTCGTAGAAACAATTAATTTGTAACGACGAAAAATACAACTCTGTAACACAGTGACAGTCATTTGATCGGTCATTTGGCTGTCATTGTTGATCAAAATATAAATTTTAATACATTTTAATCAAAATGTAGTTGTTTCATTCTTTCATATGCAAATTCAACCCTATACCACACATTGGGTGCAGTAACGGTCATTTGGCTGTCATTGTTGATGGAATTATCCATTAATTTTTTTTTTCGACAATTCTATAAAAAAAATGTTGCATGTGTGTTAGTAAAATCATTTTGTATGTGTTAGTTTCGGTCATTCATTTCTTATTAGGGTTCTATAAATCGACTTTCGAATAATCGAACAATCGACTTTTTGTCGAAAAAAGTCGAAAAGTCGAAGTCGACTATTTTGTTCCAAAAAAGTCGATAACTCGACTATCGTCTATGAAAAAAGTCGAAAAGTCGACTTTGTAAATAAAAGTCGAAAAGTCGGAAAGTCGAAAAAAGTCGATAAGTCGAAAAAAGTCGAAGAAAGTCGAAAAGTCGAAAAGTCGGAAAAAGTCGAAAAGTCGGAAAAAGTCGAAAAGTCGAAAAAAGTCGAAAAGTCGGAAATAGTCGAAAATTTTAAAAAAGTGGAAAAGTGATCAAAAACTCTAAAATAGTCGGAAAAACTCGAAAAAAGTAAAAAAATAGTCGAAAAAAGTCGAAATAAGTCGAAAATAGTCAAAAAGTCGTAAAAAATCGAAAAGTCGAAAAGTCGGAAAAAGTCGAAAAGTCGAAAAAAGTC